ACTGAGCCGGGCGAGAGAGTGAAAAGCTTCGAAGTTCTCGTCGTCGGTAGCCCAGCTACAGTACGGGCACACCTGGATTAAGTTGGAGGAGCTGTCACTACTCACGTCACTATGTGTATCTTGACAATATTCTGGCCCTTCTTTGTGGGAATTTCCTTTGACGTAGTGCACACTCTGGTCCTCATCTGCTGGCCCGCTCTGGTCAGCTGAGTCTCTCATCGGCGATGTCCAGTGTCGTGGTGCTCGGTCCACCAATCCGTTGACTGCTGCCCGAGCCAGGATTGGGTTGTCACTCGTTATGAATCTGTGGCACACAACGTAACGAGGATGGTGATACGGGGGGCGGCGGGGCGGGGCACGGTTGAGAACTTTGGGATAGAAACATCGTTTCAGTCTGCGGATGAATCTGGTGATGCTGCTCTTCCTGAAGATGACGTAGAGCCAGGGATCAAGAATCTGATTGAAGCCGGCCATCCGTACAACGATCAGGTCCGTCGACTGGTCAGCTACTCCAGTGATTTGAGTGATGAGGATGTGAACCTAGGGAGAATAAAAAGGAGGGACTTTTCGAATCTGTTTATTAGCAAATAATAGATAAATATGAATCCCTAAGGTAAGAGATCAAGAGGATGGTCACGTGGTACCCCAAGAAGAGCCACAGAACATGTACACGAAAGAGGGAAGACATGAAATACTGTTAAGAAATAATGCCTGGGCAGGAAAAAGTGGAACATGTTTCGTCATGGCCTATATCCTGATCCAGGTTGAAAAAGCAATTTATGATAATGACGAAGAGATAAATATACACTCAGATTGTTTATTATTTCCAAAATACAACTTACACTGGAAATCATAAAAGCAGTTGGCGTCTATGGCGTCGCACACAGAAGACGGGAGTTTGATTTCTGTGTGAGCAGGTTATTTTAATTGAATATCTGCGTCTGCCTGCTGGGATATTGCATACCCAATCAGCCCGCCTCCAAAAGATCTAGATATAGTATCTTGTCGATTATTATTATTTTGGGGGGGGGGGGCATCATAAAGCACTGAACTCTCTATTTCCAGGTCATTGCAGCGTTATTCTAGCGTTTCTCCAAAACATGCTTTTACCTGTCCGTCTGTTTGTTTCCTATTCTTCAGTCAGTCTATTTTCCCCCCCCCCCCCCCCCCCTCACTTTCCCCCCGTATAAATCTCTCTCTCTCTCTCTCTCCCTCCCAAATTTTACACCATCATTTTAATGTACGTTTTTTTTACTCCCTCACTGTAGAGGTAGCGATAATTTAGCAATAACCGTTCTCTTTACTCGGGAATCGAGCCCCAGTCTCTGTGTATGCCAGCAAAGAGCGTAACCGCTACAGCATAGACGACGGTAATGTTACACAGTATGGGGCAAAGCAGTCTTTGGTATATTCACAGTTTTCTCAACAGTTCAGACAGAATCCGGCACGTTATGTCACGTACGCGTGCACTGGTAAGACTTACACAGCATGATGCACGCGTATAAAGCACTCAGATGGCCGTTCCTTTTAACATGTTTTCTGAACGATTATAATGGAGTTCAACTGCACCTAGAAATGAGATGGCTGTATACTGGTATACTCTAGGAGTGAGTCAGAAAACATACATGACACTGGGCGACTCAGATCGCGAAAATAAAACGTTTGCTAATAACGTAATGGGAAAACGCGGGAAAAAAGTGTACGAAATAACATACAAAAGAAACACCGTGCACAGCTCTCTATTTCCAGATTATTACAGCGTTATTTTAGCGCTACTTCAAAACATTTGTCTTTACATAACTGTCCGTCTGTTTGTTTCTTATTCTACTGTCAATCCATCCCCCCCTTCTTTCTCTCTCTGTGTCTCTCTTTCTCTATCTGTGTCTGTCTCTGTCTCTGTCTGTCTGTCTGTCTGTCTTTCTGTCTGTCTTTCTGTCTGTCTGTCTGTCTGTCTGTCTTTCTGTCTGTCTGTCTGTCTGTCTGTCTGTCTGTCTGTCTGTCTGTCTGTCTGTCTGTATGTCTGTCTGTCTGTCTCTCTTTCTATTCTGGTACATATTTCTTGCAATTTAGTATGACCCTCTAGCTAAGGACACATTTCTCACACTACAAAAGACCCAGTAAGTAACACAATATTCCTGGCCTCATTTTCTTTCCCTGCGTGTGTATGTCTTGAACAAGCCCTAATGGGATTTCGCTGAGATGGTCATTAAACGCTTCCCACAGCAAACGGTGGCGACTTTAACTGTCTCATAAAATCTACTACAATGGGCGCATTTCCCATAGCCGTTAAGTAACCGGCCTACTTATTGATGATTGCCTATGCATCTTTGGTGAGGGAATGCTTTTTTTCGGTGCGGTGGAATCACACGCTCGTCAACAATTATAGGGCATATGATGTTATTGGTACCTTCTTAAAGCTTGTTCATTTGTCCTACTTTCGGGCGAAAAATTAATAGCCATCTGTCTTGAATTCAAGTCGAAATGGTTGCAATTGAAAGGG